TTTTTTTTTTTTTTTTTTTTTTTTTTTTTTTTTTTTTTTTTTTTTTTTTTTTTTTTTTTTTTTTTTTTTTTTTTTGTTGAATTAATCGATCGACCGATCGAGCTAAAAATATCAATCGATCGAAATTTAGTTTAGCTGTGTCGTGTACCATGTTACAGAGGACGAGTACGAACCTGTGGGGCGAGTGGATGGGGGTGATGCACGGTGACGAGGTCGAGTACGTGTTTGGCCATCCTCTGAACACGTCGCTCAAGTACAGCGGCAAGGAACGAGACCTGTCCTTCAGGATGATACTCTACTTCTCCAAGTTCGCGTATTCGGGGTAAGTTTGCTCAAACGTCATAACGGATAAACACATCGACTCGAGTGGAGCCCGTCTAGGGACTTTTTTTTTTCTCTTCTCGGTCTTTTTGCTTTAGGCCCATAGCACCCCGTTGTTTCCATATTAATTGACTGTCAAACGAACGTCTTGAACGAAGGCGAACAACTGGAAATATTTGGAATTTATTGGAATTATTTATTGAATTATTGTCAGAAGGATGTTCATTATTATTTGCTCTACTAGAAATGGAGAGGTTTCTCCTTTCTCCAGAGTGACTTTAAAAAATAGTGACTTTCTGTAATAATTAGAGGAAATGGTGTTCTTGGTATGATACTTGCCAAGGACAGTGAACGGTGAAATATAAAAGATTTAAAAATTATACATTATTTGTTATAAAAATATAAATATTATTTATTAATTATAGAATATTATAATTATTATTTATTGTTAATTGTGGAAATTATTATTTACAATAATGATATAATGTGAAAAAAGATGTAAAAATTAGTAATCTATTAATTATAAGATATATTATTTATTGCTCATAGAATATTTATAAAATATTCCAATTTAGTTATATTATAATATTATTATAATATTTCTAATATTATAATAACATAATATTTTGCTCATAGAATATTTATAAAATATTTAAATAATATTTATAAGAATATTGTATTTATTAATAATATATTAAATAAATAATTAATATTTATTTTGTAATAATATTTATTAATACATATATTTATATATTGTAATATTTATTAATAATATATTAAATAAATAATTAATATTTATATTATAATAATATTTATAGAATATTATAATATTTATAGATGTATATATAGTTATATATTATAATATTTATTAATAATATATAAAATAATATATATAATAATTAATAAATATATATAAATATTATAATAATAAATAATTAATATACAATTATAATAATAAATAATTAATATTTACATTATAATAATACAAAATTAATTTAACAATTACAAAATATTTCAATAAATATAAATATAGAAATGATTATTTCTAATAATATCAGAAAAATAATATAAATATGAAAAGTATAAAAATTATTCTTCTGTGTGCACGTACACTGCGATCACGAAGTGAGGCCTCAAACTCCTGATCGAAGAAATGCCGAACGAAAATAACCAAAAGAAAAAAAAAACAAAAAAAAAAATAGAATTTATACGCACGTCGATGAAAATCGTCGATTCTTATATTCCATTTTATTTTTAGTGTAGACAGACGGCGCGGCGCGGTGAACTTAAATCTCGATAAATTTGTCTTGCCCCGCCCAGCAGACATTGATTTACGACCGGATAATCCAACCTGGATGAAATATCGTTCGATTCTTATCCCATTAAGTGAACCATCCTCGAACCATGGCGGTGTGTTTAATTTATTTATAGAGACGTCGCGAGAAAACATTGTATCATTCTTAATACGACGGCAATCGCTCTGCGAGCAGTTCGTTTCGCAGTGAATAGAGGCACTTCGAGCTGTTTCGAATCTATATTTTGTATTTTTTTTTTTTGGCGAAGAGTTCGAGTTATTTTACATGTATAATATATTCCATGTACATGTATATATGCATATTCCATAAAGCACTATGACAGGAGGTATATTTATTTCAAATAGTAATAGTTTTTATAGGTTCGTCCTGAAAAATAAATGAGATCGTAAATAAAATAAATATAGCGAATAATAACAATAACAATAATAATAATAATAATAATAATAATAAATGATGATGATGATGATGATGAATTAAAATAGAAAAAAGTTAAATTAATAGAAATAAATTTAATAAATATAAATTATTAAATATAAATAATATATTTATTAAATATAAATTATTAAATATAAATATAACGAACAATAGTAAAATAAATAATATAATAATATAAACGATAATATAACAAATTAATAATATAATAATATAAACGATAATATAACAAATTAATAATATAACGATATAAACGATAATATGACAAATTAATAATATAATAATACAAACGATAATATAATGAATTAATAACTTAATGATATAAACGATAATATAACAAATTAATAATATAATGATACAAACGATAATACAATAAATTAATAATACAATAATATAAACAATAATATAACAAATTATTGATATAATGATATAAACGATAATATAATAAATTAATAATATAATGATATAAACGCTCATATAATAAATTAATAATATATTAATATAAACGATAATATAACAAAGTAATAATATATTAATATAAACGATAATATAACAAATTAATAATATAATAATACAAACGATAATATAATAAATTAATAATATAATAATACAAACGATAACATAACAAATTAGTAATATATTAATATAAACGATAATATAATATAACAAATAATATAATAATACAAACGATAACATAACAAATTAATAATATATTAATATAAACGATAATATAATATAATATAATATAACAAATTATTAATATAATAATACAAACGATAATATAACAAATTATTAATATAATAATACAAACGATAATATAACAAATTATTAATATAATAATTATAAATACTTCAAATTAACAATAGAATATTCTCACAGTTATTCACACTTGCATTTCACTTCACAAATTTCAAGCATTTCGAATCATATTAGAAGGAATACGATAATCGTTCGATCATACGAATCTATTCCGAAACTGTCTCGAATCTCACTTCCGACGAGATTGAAAAGTCTTCGATTTGACGATCAATCTTACAGATTATTAAAATCCATGCGACACCGTCACCAACCGTGTGGAATGTCCCACGGATTTTCTGAACAACAGAGCTACGTGAAATCGCACCCGGCTCGATAGGAACGCGTACAGCGCAAACAAGACGCGGATCGATAATTTCATTTCGTTAAGAGCGAAATTGACTCTCGTCGATGTAACAGGCTCGCTGTTTCTTTTTTTTTTTATTTTTCGAATTTTTCGTCCTCCCGAGAGATTCTTCCAAAGATGAATGAGGAAGGGGGAAAGCGTTCGAAGTAGCTTTTTGAAAATTTCGAGAGACACTGCTGGGGTTCTACATCTCGTGGAAAATAGGTCGGGCCAGGACAGTTTACTATTTTCTATGAATTTTTCAGACTGAATATTTTTAGTCTACAAAATTTCTATGAATTTCTTACGCCAGTCGAGGCTATCTGTTATTTCTAGAAATCCACTAAGATATTCTGTCGGGTATCATCATTTCTCGACGATCGTTAATATTGTTCTTTTTTTCAAGTCGAATGTAAATTTATGTGTTCATGGGAAATTGAAAAAAAAATGCAGAATACGTGGAAATATCCGACAGTTGATATTCCTTAAGTTCCTTACGTTTCCAACGTAAACTCGCGTGGTCTGGCGACGAAATCGATACATTTCTCGACGATCGACGATTAATTACATTCAAGACCAATCTACTCATGAAAGAAAAGTGAAAACTTCGATCAACACTCAATACTTATCTTCGGTCATTCCAACTCGAGGTGTGAGAAGATGATTCCAAAGATCGAGCAAGCCTCGAGACAAAAAGAAATTGATCAGCAGGCCATCGCAAATGAATGCCGCTCGATAAGTTGATAGATTAGAGAATAACGAAAAGAAAAAGGGGGGGGGGAAAAAAAAAAAGAAATAACGATAAAGGAAGAATGGCCGCAGGCTTGATGGATGATGTCCGCCCCGACACGTGACATATCGGCCTCTTTGTGTCCAGGCGTCGATAAATAATTCCTCAGTTTCCGTTAACCCAGATTGGAGGAGGCCGCAGCCCGCGGAACCGCCGCGTTAATATTTAATCGGTGTCGTCAAACACAACGTTGTCCGGAATTAATTCGCTGGCTGACTTTCCGTTTGGTCCGCGCGCTGCGTCACCGTGGCCAACCTTCTGAAATAATTAATCAGCTTCCCTTCCTTTCCTGCCGATATAGTTAGTGAGGTTCTATTCTCGGGTGTCAAAGGTCGTCGTAACGGGCGCCGCGAATTTTTCTTTCTTTCTTTTTTCTTTTTTTTTTTTTTTTTTGTCGTAACGCGAGACGCGACTTCGCCCCTTTCTTTCTCTCTCTCTCTCTCTCTCTCTCTCTCTCTCTCTCTCTCTTTCTCTCTCTCTCTCTTTCGTTGAAATGTAACGTCGATCTCGGTGGAGAAATGTTGCAGTTTTTTTTTTTTCTGGGGGTTGTACATATGTACGTACGTTTATGGAAATGAGAAGAAATTATGCGATTCGGGCGGGGAAACTACTGGATTATAAAGATTAATTGTTTGAATAGCTTTGCGAGCAGTTTTGTTCATTTTTCATGCTACATTTGTCTCGATGTATCATTGGAGTATTCGGTAATTATGTAACTCTGGAAATTGTGGAACTTTTGTCTGAAACATTTTATACAATACGTTACATAAATTATAATACATATATATAAATATATAACACGTATATATATATGTAATATATTTATAATTTATATATATATATATTATTTTGTTAAATATATTATTATTACAATTATATATTACGTATTATTATATCAAATAATTATATTTAATATTAAATATTATATTTTTTTAATTGTATTAAATCATATTTAAAATTTATTTTATATAATGATAAATGTATAATTGAAACTATAATATATGTTATATTATAATTTTTATAAAATATATAATATAATTATATAATAATAATATAACAATATAATAAGTATATATATAATTTTTATAAAATATATAATATAATTGTATAATAATAATAATAATATAATAAATATATATATAACTTTTATAAAATATTATTATATTTAAAATATACTTTTATATATAAATTTTATACATATCTTTTTGTACATATACACATCTTTATATATCCTACGTGCATTTTTATTTGCATCTCCAAACTTCCCACAAATAACTTCTAAAAACTCACCATACAACTGTAAAAAAAATTGATAAAGAATTGTACAAATTGATCCTCACACTTGCTTGTGGAGTGAAGTCTCGATTAATTTATTAATTAATTAACGCTAAGAATCGAATGTTGGAAGAAAATGTTTGAAATTAAAAAGAAGAAAAAAGGAAGAAAGAAGGCGTCGTATAGGTCTTGACTCTCCTTTTTCGGGCCCCCTTTGATTTATCCTTTTCTCCAATGTATCCTCCCTCGATCTCGATCACTGTTCTATTGTGCCGTGGCGATCTCTCTCGTTCGTAATAAATTTATGGGAAACGAAACGTAGAATGGAGAAGAGGATCGATCTGTCGGCGATTAATTGATTGACATATTATTATTATATAATTATATATATATATATATTTATTATATTATTATTATTATACAATTATATTATATATTTTATAAAAATTTTATATACATATTTATTATATTATTATATTATTATTATTATATAATTATATTTTATAAAAATTTTATATATATATTTATTATATTATTATATTTTTATTATATAATTATATTATATATTTTATAAAAATGATGTATATATTTATTATATTATTATATTATTATTGAATAATTATATTATATATTTTATAAAAATTATATATATATATATATTTATTATATTATTATATGGTGGAGGGAGCGGCGTAGAAAAGAACGATCTTCCTTTCTTTCTGTAGATATTTGATTGATACGCCGGTTCGTGACAGAAAAGCCAGGCTCTTTCAATAATTAACAAAGCGCATAAACCGACTATGCCACTCGACGCGCAGTTTATTAACTGAACGTCGGGGTTGTTATTAATTTTAAACGAGGCCAGGTTGACTGTTCGACGTCCACCGCCTCCGATCGTTTCCTCGCTCGGAAACTTGAATTTACCTCGCGAGGCAATTTCCCCGCGTCATTGCCAATTAATCCCTCCTGTGTGTGATACTAGATAAAAAGAAGAGAAGAAAACAAAGAAAGAAAAAAAACAGCATGATGAAACGCAGTTGCAAACAACTGTTGTTTGCGAACGTCGTTATCGACGCTGGGTAAAGCAGTACTCGAAACAAAATGGGGGGGAAAAAAAATTCTCGAAAAATTATTTTTCATTGTTTAAAGAGTTTTCTATTTTTTTTTTTTTTTTTCTTTTGCATTGGTCAATTATTTTATTGGTTTTCGTATTCAGTTGAAGTATTCGTACGTCGTGTATTTCACAGGATAAATTTGAAACAATTATTCGTTACGATGTTACGCGTTGTTAATTTGAAATAATTATCCGTCTTCGTGTTGATCGAGTTTATTTGACGTTACGAATGTATTTTCATTGTAACGTATACTTCAATATCTATTTTGTATTTTAATGTATTTTAATTATACATGTACATTTCCCAGATGAACTTGGAATCAATTTGAAAGTTTTCTCTCGTTATGCGTGACGACGAATTTGTTTGAAAAATATAAATAATGCTCAACAAATGGAACATTATATGTGAAATGTTATTTCAAGTAATTATCTCTAACACTCCTTCAACGTTGATTGTTATTTTTAATAACAAATTCCCACTGCACGCACAAGTGAAATCGATTTTCGAATACTATCTCGTTTCAAGAAGAGTATCGTTTCCAATAATTTTTTTTACTTGAAACATGCCCAGAGATGCATTTTACTTGGGACCAATCAATAACAAAACTACCTCCGATCCAATATTTCAGTTTTTCGCGCAACAACGTGCTCGAATGGCAAAAATAAACAAAACGCGATGAAAATGATATCGCAAAGTTTTATAGTAAAATAATAAAATGGTGTAATAAAGATTCCTTGACAAAATTGACAAATAATATGGCAAAGGGTGAAATATTAAAAAGTACGTGTTTAAAGAGATTTAGTAATTAATAATTAATAATTATCCATTTTTTTATTTTGTTATTTAATAATTATTTAATTTTTTATTTTATTATTTAATAATTATTTAATTTTTTTATTTTGTTATTTAATAATTATTTAATTTTTTTATTTTATTATTTAATAATTATTTAATTTTTTTATTTTATTATTTAATTATTATTTAATTTTTTTATTTTATTATTTAATAATTATTTAACTTTTTATTTTATTATTTAATAATTATTTAATTTTTTATTTTATTATTTAATTATTATTTAATTTTTTTATTTTATTATTTAATAATTAATTTAATAATTATTTAATTTTTTATTTTATTATTTAATAATTATTTAATTTTTTTATTTTATTATTTAATAATTAATTTAATAATTATTTAATTTTTTTATTTTATTATTTAATAATTAATTTAATAATTATTTAATTTTTTATTTTATTATTTAATAATTAATTTAATAATTATTTAATTTTTTATTTTATTATTTAATAATTAATTTAATAATTATTTAATTTTTTATTTTATTATTTAATAATTAATTTAATAATTATTTAATTTTTTATTTTATTATTTAATAATTAATTTAATAATTATTTAATTTTTTATTTTATTATTTAATAATTAATTTAATAATTATTTAATTTTTTATTTTATTATTTAATAATTATTACGACGTGTATAATGTATAATTGTAATGATTACAATCATCAAGATATTATATTATCCGATTATAAGAATAACTAATAAGATTAACAAATTATTATCTTTCCACTTGAAATACGTGTACGAGGTGCTTCCAGCGCGTTATAAGGTTCGAGTTAAGTGGTCGGTTTACGTTGTTTCATCGTTTCGAGCTTCCTTCCTAGGGATTTTAGCTCCGTCTGATCAGACAGTTAACCCCGAGGTCAGATGAAATTTTAAACCGAGACTGCCAGCCAGATCTCTTTCCACGAAGAAATTTGAAACGTTCATACGTTTCTCCTTTTTCCTTTTCGTTTCTTTCTTTTTTTTTTTTTTTTTAACCCGTAGAAACGATTTTAAGAGCGACTGTGAAATAGCAAAGAGCTCGGAGCTTTGATACTCGATATCGAACGTTTGCATTCGAAAAGAAGTTTCGATTTCAACTGTTCTCAATTTGACAATTAAAAAGGAAATTTTTGGAGCGAATGTTACTTTTCTCCAGTGGTTATTTTAATCCTTCATTAATATTAAAAGTTATGCTTCACGTTAGTTCATTTTCGAAACTTTCGTTTGATTGAATTTTATTACTAATCTGTGTGTCAGAAAATGTAGAAAGTATAATAATTTTTAAATTATTTTTAAAGTACAATTACTAATCTGTTTGTCAAAAAATGTAGAAAATATAACAAATAAAAATTTCTAAATTATTTTTAAAGTACAATTACTAATCTGTTTGTCAAAAAATGTAGAAAGTATAACAAATAAAAATTTCTAAATTATTTTTAAAGTACAATTACTAATTTGTGTGTCAAAAAATGTAGAAAGTATAAATAAAGATTTTTTAAAGTGTAATAAAATTTTCGTTACCTAATGCAAAATTACTATAGTCATCTACGATCCCACAATGGTGCTTTGCATTAATTATTCAATCATTTCACTGTTATTTAATAATTATTCGTCACTTTCCAGGAAGCCGACGGATGATGAGTCCGAGTGGCCGCCATATTCGAGGGACGAACCGCAGTATTTCATCTTCGATGCGGAGAAAATAGGCTTTGGGAAAGGACCACGCACCACGTACTGTGCTTTCTGGAACGACTTCCTGCCAAAGTTGAAAGGAGTGCCAGGTCTGTACAATCTTGAAATCATTCCAATCTCCTGTCTCTCTAGTGTTATAATACACACTTCCGCTCGAAAGTCCTCGAGCAATTTTTATTTCTAACTCTCAGTGTTCATCAATGATGAATAATAAAATTTGGAAAGCCATTTGATGTCCTGAGTCTCAACACAGATTATTTTTAATATTCAGTGTCCTGTAAACGTAACTAATACGTAAAATTTTCAAGTTTCACTCTGCAAATAATAAAATTTTAAAGTTAAATATACACAAACGGTGAAATATTTTGTTAAATATTAAATAATTAAATATAAATAATAAAATTTTCAAGTTTCACTCTGCAAATGATAAAGTTTTTAAGTTAAATATACACAAATAGTGAAATATTTTGTTAAATGTTAAATAATTAAATATAAATAATAAAATTTTCAAGTTTCACTCTGCAAATGTTAAAATTTTAAAGTTAAATATACACAAATTGTGAAATATTTTGTTAAATGTTAAATAATTAAATATAAATAATAAAATTTTCAAGTTTCACTCTGCAAATGATAAAATTTTAAAGTTAAATATACCCAAATAGTAAAATATTATGTTATAATATTAAATAATTAAATATAGATAATGAAACTTTTTATGTTTCACTCTGCAAACTTTTTATTGTGTAAAGTATTACTTAATTTGTCCAACTTTGAAGCGAATATAATACTCCTATTTTTTATGAAGCTCTGATATTTATCAAAGATACCAGGGGTGTTCAGTTGCGTGTAATTTTTAATAAAATTGTATTAATAATATACTCTCTTTATGACATAAAGTGTCAAATTAAACAGATTGCTACGGTGTGATTTATTCATGATTTTTTTTCCAACTTCGGTCAAAGTATAATGTAAAACTAGACTGCAGATGTGTATAATGTTTAGAAATGCAAATGGAGAAATGAAATCTGACCAGAGACACAGATACGCTCTGCCCATTTAATGTTACAATGAGCGCTGTACTCTGATATTTTTATGTATTCCTTGCATTTTAATAATAAGTTTATCTCGTTTGAAACGGCTGACTTTAAAAAGAAACGAGTAAAAGAAAAAAATTGTTCAATAACATTTAAACGTAATCAAAAGGAATATTACGTAGAAAATTCGAATGCATTTTTTTTTTTTTACAAAACTTGTAACGTTACGCGGTAAAAATTACTTTATTGCAAGAGAAGAGACAACATGTCACTGATACGAAAAATTTAAATTGAGAAATACGAGCGTGCAGACCGAAAGATTACCAGCAACGTTTAACTTAAAAGTTGCAACTCTGTTTCACACCAGTAAAAATATATTTTACTACAATTTTTTTGATAAAAATTTCCAAAAGTTTCTGTGAAAAATTTCATGCGTAACCGCCTGACATTTCACACATTCACGCTTTCAATATACGAAAGAGTTGCTTGCTTTATTTATTGCCTATTTTTAGAATCTTTCCTTTCTTAAAAATCTCCTTTGTGTAGCTCTATCTACGATGCTACCACTATTCTTCTATAGATATCCTAAGAATTTTCGTGGCCATTGTATATTTTCTTGTAGATTACACCCTCGAAACTTCCATAGATACAATATGTTATTATTCAACAACCCTGACCCTGTTTCCCTTTTCTTTAATCCCCACCGTTCCGTTTTTTTACGGATTCTGGTTTCTTCTCTCTTTTTAACCTCTTGCGCTGGAGTGACGTGCCACGCACGTCGAGATTTCTTTGTCCCAAAATTGCAATATTTCCACAGTTTTTAATATATTTAAATATATTAAACCCGGGCAAAACAAATGATAAATTTATTACTTCTCGATAATTTCTATCCAGTGATATCATATCGACGAGTTTCAAAAAGAAAGCGACGTATTATTGTATACGGTTTGGTCACTCGTTATGGTCCGCAATCAGCTGCCGATAACCTCTTGCGCTGGAATGACGTGCCACGCACGTCGAGATTTCTTTGTCCCAAAATTGCAATATTTCCACAGTTTTTAAATATGTATTTAAATATATGAAACCCTTATACATATTAAAAATATATTAAATATATATATATTAAATTTTAATAAATGTATTAACATATATATATTAAATATATTAAATATATTAAATTACTTCTCAATAATTTCTATCCAGTGATATCGTACCGACGAGTTTCAAAAAGAAAGCGACGTTTTATTACTGTATACGGTTTTGGTCACTCGTTATGGTCCGCAATCAGTTGCCAGCGCGAGTGGTTTAAAGCACCTTGGTTATAACCTGTTTCACGAGACTTTTAAAAACCGCAGAAGAACCTCACGTCCTAATTGAACTGATTTTCATTAAAACTCTCCTTACCTTTTTAAGGGAGACATCCATACGCAACGATGCAACGATGCAACGATGATCTCTTCCCCTTTTTTCCATTTTTTTCCAAAGCGTCTTTTTTCCTCTTTCCTTACTTTTTGAATGGCAAAGTACCCTTTTAGAATATATCGTGCAAGAAGAAGCACAGCTTCTGGGATGATGATTTTTGAATTTTAAATTCGACATGTCTTTTTTTTTTTTGTACTCTTCGAGGTAAGAATAATTGTTGTAAAGGATTGTACCAACGATAATTCGAGAGGAGACGCGAGGGAAAATTTTTCCTCTGAACCCCACCGACATTTTTATGCAGTTCTTGACTGTACAAGTCATTTCCACCTTGAATATCTTGGCTTCTGTAAAAAATACATAAACTCATATATATGAAGCTTCACTCTTTTCTATATTATAATTCTTCGTAAACATCGTATATATATTCTTCAATCAAAGCAATTCCCTTGCTTTCATGATTCAATGTACTTTTCCACGGTAAATGAGATTTATCATTCCACATTTCGAACAATTGTATGTTAAATTCAAATATTCGATATATTTTTTTAACAATAATTCATCTGTCAAAATGTTGTCTGAGTGAAAATGTTGATTATTATAATTGTTCCAATTCTTCTCATTTTGATACATGTATAACTACATGTTCGTTTATAATTTTATGTTCTCTTAATAATACAATCTGTTTAATAATAAATTAATGATTAATACAATAGAAAAAAATTACCACGAATTTGAAACACTGTATTATTATAAATTTGTTATATTATATATTATTACACTATATAATAAATTGAATATAATAAATATTACATACTATATATAATAAATAAATTTATAACTGTATATTATTATACTAAATTTGATAAATATACATTAATAAGTTTATAAATAATGGTAAATAATATGAATAAATTTACACGATATTTTTTCAAAAGTTCATAAGTTTCAATTTTACAAATCTACAATATAACCTGAATGCCTAATTTTCAATCAATTCCGAATCGCCCGAATTAATTTTCTACAATCACTGAAAAGCGTAGCTCCCCTCCTCGCCCCTTTGACCCCACAATTGTCCACAGTTCGCGATAAAATAAAATAGCACGAGGCCAGGCTTCGATATACATATCGATGAGATTCTCGCGTTGTTTCCACGTTTCGAACAATTATCCAGCTGTTGTTCTTGTTGTTGTTGTTGTTGTTGTTGCTGCTGTTGCGTGACGCGTGTTCTCGTTTCGCATCCGCCCGCATAATTCCCAGCGTTTGTTTGCTCGAGATTGTGCCGGATTAAAGCTGGTATTCGGTCGGATCGAATTCGGCACTCCCCTTTCTGGCCGCGGCGTTCTCTTCAGCGGAATTGCTTCGTGTCCCACGCCCCCGCTGTTCCAAACGAACGTTCCGCGCGGATATCCAATGACGCTCGATAGTCTGGAACTAGTCATTTGCTATCCGACGAGAGATCGTCGGATTAACCTCTCCTTGTCTTTCGATTTAATCCCCAGCCAGGCAATTTATTCCCTTTATTTCTTTCTCTTTCGGAATTTGTTGTTCTTTACCTTACTTTAACACTTTTTTTTATTTTATTTCTTTCTTTTTGAGAATTTGTTTCCTACCTTACTTTACTACTATTTTTTATTTTATTTCTTTCTTTTTGAGAATTTGTTTCTTACTTTACTTTGCTACTTTTTTTATTTTATTTCTTTCTTTTTGAGAATTTGTTCTTTACCTTACTTTAATACTTTTTTGTTTTATTTCTTTCTTTTTGAGAATTTGTTTTTTACCTTACTTTAATACTTTTGTTATTTTATTTCTTTCTTTTTAAGAATTTGTTTTTTACCTTACTTTAACACTTTTTTTTATTTTATTTCTTTCTTTTTGAGAATTTGTTTCTTACCTTACTTTACTACTATTTTTTATTTTATTTCTTTCTTTTTGAGAATTTGTTCTTTACCTTACTTTAATACTTTTTTTTATTTTATTTCTTTCTTTTTGAGAATTTGTTTCTCACCTTACTTTAATACTTCTTTTAATTTTATTTCTTTCTTTCTGAGAATTTGTTTTTTACTTTACTTTGCTCTTTTTTTATTTTGTTTCTTTCTTTTTGGGAATTTGTTCTTTACCTTACTTTAATACTTTTTTTATTTTATTTCTTTCTTTTTGAGAATTTGTTTCTTACTTTACTTTGCTCTTTTTTTATTTTATTTATTTCTTTTTGAGAATTTGTTCTTTACCTTACTTTAATACTTTTTTTATTTTATTTCTTTCTTTTTGAGAATTTGTTTCTTACCTTACTTTACTACTTTTTTATTTTATTTCTTTTTTTTTAAGAATTTGTTTTTTACCTTACTTTAATACTTAATACTTTTTTTTATTTTATTTCTTTCTTTTTAAGAATTTGTTTTTTACCTTACTTTGCTACTATTTTTTATTTTATTTCTTTCTTTTTGAGAATTTGTTTTTTACCTTACTTTAATACTTTTTTTATTTTATTTCTTTCTCTTTAGGAATTTGTTTCTTACCTTACTTTAATACTTTTTTTATTTTATTTCTTTCTCTTTAGGAATTTGTTTCTTACCTTACTTTAATACTTTTTTTATTTTATTTCTTTCTCTTTAGGAATTTGTTTCTTACCTTAC